CATTAAAATCTTTGTAAGTCTCTATTAATTTTTATAATTTAGATTCAATAATCATATATACATGTAACTAGAGTTGCTGTAGTAGATCAACCCACTAGCCAATTCATGTACATTAACTTGATGGGTTTGATAGACCTTGACACTTTGTATTGCTACAATTCTGCCACAGACCCATATGACCATTCCCCCTAGTAAAAAAAGCCATTTGAAATAGTCTTCATTTGAAATCCTAAAAAACAGATTTCTAGTGACTCACCAGGTCTAGCAAATAAGGGCTCCAAAGCTATAATATTCAATACTCCACAACCGAAGGATAGGAGAACCTCCAATATTCGTCTCAGACTCTGTGAGTGCTCCTTCCACCACTTTTGGACAAACTGGCACTGCCTGCCATTGTTTTAACCCTTTCATGAAATTCGTGTACAATGTACATATAAAGCATGCAGGCGTCTACACAATGAAAATTTAGAGTACTTCAAAAATGAAGTTTGACTTTAAAAGTGATAATAAAATAAACAATATAAAAGAAATTTTACTACAATAAAAATTAAAACATCTAATTTTCATACTGTTTGACTCTTTTTGACAATGGATCCAAATGAGCATCAGAGAATTTATCTTTATATCTTTCCATGAGTTTTCGAGCAAATTCCTGAGCAGGTTGAGTACCTTTCTCATTTAAGATATTTAAGAACAATAAAAATGTAGGCTCCTTATTAATTTTAACTGCAACTTCAACACGTTCCATTAATTCTTCCATTCGCTGATACTTATTCCACCCAGTATTTCTATCAGTTATAGCGCTCCTCTCTGTTTCATTGATCAGATTCATCTGAAGCAGCTTGCTTGCAATTTTGGAAAAATCATCAGAAAAATATTCCTTGATCTCCTCTGTGCTTTCCACAAGAACCTGATATGCAAAATCTAAAATAAAAGCATAATACAGTATACTAATTTTCATGATAAAATTCTATAGGTGTATTCAAACAGGATAGATCTACATGTACAAGGCTATAGCACTACTGTAACAATAGCATTCACATTATAGGTCTAATATAAAATGTGTTGAACTCACTTGTCTCCAGAACATCAGGTAAATTGTTTAGCTCATCATGCTGTCGTTTTCCTATAATAATAACAAACTATGCATTAAATTACTACTTAACACTATACCCTTACCTTTATTTATCTGATCTATCCAATTCAAGCAGTAAGACATTTCTTTGGGTTTGCAGTCAATAGTGCAGCGAAAAACATAACGATGTTGTGTTTTAAGCCATGATACTACAGCTACATGCCTTCCTTTACCACAGGGACAGTAAAATGCTCTTTTTGGCTTCTCACATGTACTAAGTTTATGCTTAGACATTGCTACATCAACTGCTTTTTCCACAGCATCCCTTGCTGGAATATAATCATCAGTTGCTTCACAATAAAGTGCAATACAGTCAACTTGTTCCACAAGAATAATGATACTTTCAAGAAGGTCTGGACATCGTAAAGTAAAATAGTTTGAAAAGTTTGACTCTTCAACAAACTTCCACGGAGCCTCCTTATCAGAGAGAAGGTGAACAATGACTGCACAAAAGAGACCCATTGGAATAGCATTTTCAAAATACAACAAAAGAGGTGTTGTGTTAGGGTAGGGGTTGATGTCAGATACATCTTTTATTGGTAGAAGAGCTGGCATGAAGAAAGATTCTTTCTCGGGTAACTTTGTAGCAATCAGAAGATATTCAAAAAGACCAAGTAACTTTGCATCAAAATCAGAAAATGCCTCGCATATTTTATTAGAACTTTTTGAGGCCTTTTTAAGGATTTCAATGGAGAGATGACCTTTGCACACGAGTGCTTTTTGATCAGGAAGTAGAAGTTTTGCTTCAGAATGAGTGTCACAGATAAAAATTAGTAAATCTCTAAGAATGTTAATAAGGCTCTCTATATTAACAAAAACAAGATCTCCAGCAGGTGAATCAGGATAAAAGAGTAATTTATTGAGAAAACTGAGAAATTTAATAGCACTTAATGATTCTTCAGGTGACAAATTAACTTTTAATTGTTGGCCAAGCTTTTGACAAAAAGATAAACTTAAAACACCACAACCTTCCTTAGCAACATCATGGAGAAGGACACCAAAGCAATACCACTTCAATGGAACTTTGATTTGATATGCATTATCTTCCAATGCTTGAGCTATCTTATATAAGTCTGAATCTGGCTGTAGATTCTCAAAGACTTTATTACGAGCTTTACGACCATCAACCTCATACAGATATATTTTACCTTCACGTCCCACTATCTCACAAGTCTCATGATGACAAAAGATTTCATTTATTGTTATCTTTTTATTAACAATCGACTCTTTACCATTCTTTAGTGCTTCTTTATATTCATCATGGTGAGTAGCAACAGGCAGCACTTTCAATTTATCTGAAGGAGGTGTGATACACTTTGAAAGAACAGGATCATCAGCAATCAACGAGCGATATCGCTGGGCACTGGAGGCTATTGCAGAGAGCAGATGCTTCAAAATCTCAATAACTGAGAGTGAATGCTGACCAACACTAATTTCTCTCTCAGAAAGCTGCATTGCTGTACAGGATGGATCACTAAGATTCTTAGATAAATTAACTACTAGAAGTAAAACTGAAGCATATGGCATGAATGCTGGGAGTAACTTTTGAAATTGAATTTGGCCTCCAGAGTCAATGAAATAGAGCCAACGCCGACCATGAAGACTTGTC